TATATATATACACACACACACATATATAGATAAAGCATCATGTTATAGCCAGATTACAGAACCAGACTTATCACAAAACAGGACAACTCCTCCTCATTCTAGGTGTCCTATAAGGATTTTTTTTAACAGATTTTTCCTATGTATTCCAGGCTGGCCTTGAATTCATGGGAATTTTCCTGCCTCAGCCTCTCAGTGCTGAGATTAGAGGAACAGGCCACTAAGTTACCTGTTTTGTTTTCCTTTTTGTCTTAAAATGGTCAATTTATATCCACCTACTTCTCAATTTAAGGCTAAAAGGAATTCATGTGCTGCAATTGTGATTTTTTTAGATTTAAGAAAATAATTGGAAAAAATATGATAATATACACAAAATGGCTTCAAAAACATCATGTACCAGCCAGGTGTGGTGATGCATGCCTGTAATCCCAGCACTTGGGAGGCTGAGGCAAGAAGACTGCTGTGAGGTCAAGGCCAGCCTGGACTATGTAGCAAAACCCTGTCCCAACCAAAAAAAAAAAACAAAACCCAAAAAGTACCACTTTACATTCTTGGCATTACAACTGAAATATGATGATAGTATTATCAATAATTGGCATTCCCTTCATTAGCATGTAATTCTAAAGACGAGCAATTTTGACAACGTATGCCATGCCAATCATTTCAGCATGGGAAATAAATACATCATTGTTATGCCCAAATGTGCACGCTGAAATCCTTGCCACCCAGGAAGCCGTGGGGGGTGATTAGTTCTTGAAGGTGGAGCCCATGAGGGGGCTTACTGCCCTCTGAAGGGAGCTTCTGTGCCCCTCCTACCATGGGAGGATGAGGAGAAAGACAGCTGCCCATGAACCAGACAGTGAGGGATATGCCAGGGCCTAGTCTGGGGCTCTGAGCTTTCAGGGGTGTGGCAGGTAAATACCTGCTGGCTCAGACCCTGGCCATGGTACTCCTGTGAGTGCAGCCCACATGGGCTGATGCACTGAATCAAGACAGCCAGTTTACATGAGTGTGCAAGAGTAAGGAGAAAGACGAGCAACAATGTTAGCACCAAAAAACCACAACATTTGGTGTTGTTACCTCGCCTGATGCTTCATCAATCAAAGATATCTGGGTAGGAGTCTCAATCTCGATCGCTACCTGTTAAAGTGAAAGGTCGCATACGGGTCAGTTTTCCATGACATCTCATGGCAAATCCTGGAAGGGGACAACTGAAGGGGACTCAGCACAAAAATCACAGACCTGCATGTAACAACTTCTGAATCTGCTGTTCTATTTTCAGTTTGACAACATGATAAGGTAAAAATAATAGGTTCATTAAGGAGGATTTGGCAATCTGTATTAAATGCCTTACCTGTGTATCTGCCCTTTATCATGACCATTCTATCGCCACAAACTTGTTTTTCCTCCTTCATCCCATCCCGAGATCCACACCTGCGCCCTGTGTGACACACCCACCCTTTGTGAGTTCTGGGCTTGGTCTGGAGCTGCAGTGCTAGTCTGGGTTAGCACAGGAGATGTGACCTGCAGCCCTTCTGTGTCACCAGGACAGTGACTGCTCCATGACAGGCACTGCACAAGCAGCTCATGAAAAAGGAAAAGCTCCACACCTTTGAAGCTGCCAGTGTCATAAAACTTACAGTGACTAAGTGCAGATGTTTTGGGCTTGAAATACCCTCGCATTTCTGGAATGAAACATATTCATGATGCAGCATTCAATGCTGTTCCACTTAGTGAACTCATGGAAACTAATCCTAATCCTTCATTAGGATTTTCACTGCATTCACATATGAAATGACTTTTCTCCCCATGTACTAACATGATCTATTTTGCAACCATGGCTAAGCAATTTACCTTACTAGTATTTCCTACAACAACTCATAGTATAGGGATGGTTTACTCTCTGAACATTTGATATAAAGCACATATAAAAACATTGGGGCTTGGAGCTTATCTTGCAGAAGAGATCTCTGCTAACTTTTGGTTTTCTTGAAGCAATCGTCTTGCTATTTATATTTAGTTCAGGCTGGCCTTGAATTCACTACTTAACCCAGACTGGCCTTGAACCTGAGGCACTGCTTCCAGGCCCATGCAAGCTGGGGAGTGCTGCTGGCCCTGGAGGCGGGGAGAGCATGTGTGCACCAGATCAGGCTCTGGTCTTCAGTCCACCAGCCCAGGGGCGCACAAGGACAGGCACAGGCAGACCCACAGCCAGACATCGTGGCTCAGGGACAGCAGGGCCCAAGCTGCAGTGAGTGGCCCTGTGCGGTCCTGGCTGGCAGTGCGTCCATGACTACTCCGTGTGTGCAGGATTTGCCTGTCGGCTGCAGAGCTGCCATCTTCACTCCGCTCCCTGACAGTAAGCTACATCCTACATCTATGGTCTTCTGTTTTGTTTTGCCTTTGGTGTCTACCTCTCCCTTGGGTTTCGGTTTGAGGCCTCTTCCTCCTTTCCTGTTTACTTGGGGTTTTCTTGTCTTACTTTTACTTCAGGAATTAAATCTACTAAATAATAGGGCTTCTCTGCACGTCTGAATTTCCTATGTGTCAGACAGCTACCCATGTCCTCCCCTTTACTACCCCTTACAGGAGAGATTCATTTTCTTCAGTCAAACTGGAAGTTACCTATTCTGTTTTTATTATTGTCCTTGTTTCCCCTTCTTATCATCATCTACAAATTATGCTTACTTTTCCCGGTTCTGCCCATGATCTAATTAAAACACCTGGCAATGATGCTGGTGTACATTCACAATTTAAAGTATCAGAATATATCTAAGCTGGAATCCATGAGAGTAAATGAACAGAACTAGCCAGGCATGGTGGTGCATGCCTGCAATCCCAGCACTGGAGAAGCTGAGGCAGGAAGATCTCCCAGAGTGCAACGCCAGCCCAGGCTATAAAGTGAGTTCAAGGCCAGTCTGTACTGCATAGCAAGGCCCTGTCTCAAAAAGCAAACAAATGAACAAAAAGAACTAAGGACCTAGATCAAACTTTAGAGAAACAAAAAAATCTAATTAACAACAAATAAACATAGACCTCTCCTACACAGCTCAACAGGTAGAATACAAAATGTTGTTATTCTAGATGATTCTGTGTGTGACTGGTGTGCGAGGGGCTGGCCTGGGAACACGTCAGTTCTTCTCCTTCCAGAAATCCTTCCCAGCTATACAAAGAATTAATGTTACACAAAAAATAAAACTTACTATTCTTTTCTCCCAGAATCTGTATTTTGGGCTAGTCAGTAACAACTCCTTAGTAACAGGTGAACAGTACAGGTGGACCTTCAAGCTGAAAGGAAAAGAAAAAAAACAACTTTCAGTACAACACACAATGAACTCTGGGGGGCTGCGGAGATAGCTCAGTAGAATAAGCACTTGCCTGGCAAGCGCAAGGTCCAGAGTTCAATCCCCAGTACCGCAAAATAAATAAATAAAATAAAAAACATTGAACTCCGGTGGTGACAGAGACCTGCATTTCACCAACAGTTTTCCCTAGTAACTTAGAAACCACTGGCACACAAATGTGTGCAAGCCACTCCTGTATACTGATCTCCAGCGTTTCAGTCCCCTCCAGACTATAAGGGTTGTCACTGTGTCTTCAGACCACCAAGAATCCCTTAGTCATTCTTGAGTTAACTACATGCATTGTGGGCTGGGGTCATAGCTAAGTGGTGGTACAGTGCCCACCTATCATATGAGGCCCTGGTCCAAGCACAGCACATGTGTATACACACGTGTGCATACATATGCACACACATACACATGGAGTACATGACCAGGTATATCTGGATAGAGACCACTAAGCCTTGAGCTACTAATGAACGCCAGAAAAGGGAATGTTGGCCACAGAAACTTCTGCTTTATATTTTCTATGATCCGTTGCATTTCTCTTTCTTTCTTTCTTTCTTTCTTTCTTTCTTTCTTTCTTTTGCAGTTTTGGGGACTAAACACATGACCTTGTACATGCTAAGAAAATGCTCTACCACTTAGTTACACCCCACCTCATTCATATATATATATATATATATATATATGCATATATATGCATATGAACAAAAGTATAGTTTCAGAGGTTAAAAATAAAGACTATGGCATATTGTCCTCTCCAGGGGTGACCACACTACCATATATTCCAGCTAATAAGTCTTCACAAACAGAACCTCAATTCTGCCAAGGAGAGGAGGGGATCCAGGTGCTTCACCTGGACCTGGCAGCCGTCATCACAGAATGTGGTATAAGCGACCTGAGGAATTTCTGGGCCTGCCCTCCAGCCAATATACCTGCCCTCGGCCCTCTTAGGATTGACACTTGTTAACTCGGAGGCACTTAGATGTCACATGGCTTCTCATATGAGATATTCAAAGTACAAAAAAGGGGAGAAAAGGTACTAGGAAATAGGGATCAAATGAAAAGGGATCAAGAGATGGAGGATAAAAGGAATTAAGATGTGCTATTTCCATGTACCAAGTCCACACAAGTATAAACTTTATATGGCAAACATGGTGTCATGGTTTGTGTCTTAATTGTTCCCCAAAGCCTCTAGCAGTTCCTGGGGTGGCTTCCAGAGTTTGTGTTTAACTCATGATCCAGTGCTGGGATTATGGAGTGTGCGCTATGCTGGCCATGCAGCAGAAGGCCTGGATGCGGTATAAGGAAGGGAGAGAGGCTTGCTCTCAGCTCTGCTGCTGCTGCTCCCTTTTTGCTCTTGCTGTTTGGTTGTTTTCCTCCACCATGAACTGCTGCCTTCTGCCATGTGTCATTCTACCTTGAGTATGGACTGAAACCGCCACAAACTAGGAACCAAATAAACCTTTCCTTCTTTAATTTTGGGTGCCGAGTATTTTGTCCCAGCAAAGAGAGAAAAGTAACAGATACATGGAGTAGTAAGTAAAAAAGCAAGCAACTAACTCAAACTACTAATGCTAATGACTTTCAAGACAGAGCCAAGCTCAGAGAACACATGTTCTAGCCCATGTGGGTGCCAGGTACCGAGTGACTCTTCAGGTCCTTTCAGCCCCCTCTGCCACTAGGCAGGCAAGAACCAGAAACCTGTCACAACCCCACTTCACAGGAACTGAGGGATCACATGTAATTAGTACTGTTTTGTTCTAAGGTGCTTTCTTTGGACTGATTTTCTACCTGCAACAGACAGCTGATACACAGCTCTGAAATCAGACAGACCTGGCTGAAGCCCTGGCCCTGCCACTCATGGGCTGCATGACATGGGGCAACTCATTTAACCTCTCTGGCTCCTCAGCTTCCTCATCTGTAAAACAGAGGTAATAGGAACTATTTAATGGTTATTAAGAGGCTTGAAAGAGAATGTCAGGTCTTGAACCCAGTACCACAGTCAGCCGTCACAGGCACTCAGAAAATGCCTGCACTAAAACATTCACAGGGCCTGGGAGAGGTAAGTATTCAGTGACCACTGGTTACTATCATCTGCTGTTGATTAGCCAAGACATCCAATCGCTTCTGGCTCAAAAACCACAAGGAACCTTTCCAAGCCAGAGAATTTGAAATTTAGATTTAGGCAATGGCTAAAGAAAAAGAACCCAATAACTGAGCTTTAAAAAAAGATGGTGGTGCACACCCGTAATTGGTGGTGCACACCTGTATTTGCTGCACTGGGGAGGCTAATGCAGGAGGATCACTCCAAGTTTAAGACCTGAGTTCAAGGCCAGCCTCAACCACACAGTGCGTTCAAGGCCAACCTGAACTACATAGGGAGATCCTGTTTCAAAAAAGGAAGGAAGGAAGGAAGGAAGGAAGGAAGGAAGGAAGGAAGGAAGGAAAGAGGTGGGGTAAGGGAGGGAAGGGTAACAAGAAGAGATTAGATAGCTCAGCGGACTAAGGCACCTGCTTAGACAGACACAGGGACTGTTATGGTTTGTGTATAGTTGTCCCCCCAAAGCCTCATGCAGTCTTGGGGCGGCTTCTGGAGTTTGTGATCAATTATTGTGGGTGCGGATGCTGCACCTGCCCTAGGGCAGGTAATCTGCATTACAATGTAAGGTGGAAAGAGAAGCTAGCTGTTTGAGCTGCTGCTACCCCTCCTTTCACTCTTGCCCTTTGCCACCACCATGAAAGGTTGCTTTTTGCAATGTGCTGCTCTGCCTTGGACCCAGCTGAATATGGACTGAAACCTCCACTAACTGTGAGCTAAATAAACCTTTCCTTCCTTCATTTTGAGTGTTGGGTATTTGTCCCAGCAACGAGAGAAGAGTAAGACAGGGACTAAGGTTCAATCTACAGCATGACGTGCTGGCACTGCACCCAGGGCACACTGAGATGGGACTGAGACTGGGCATGGTGGCATATGCCTATAATCCCAGCACTTGGGAAGCTAAAAGCAGGAGGATCACTAGGAGTCCAATCTGTGTAGTGAGACCCTGTAGACCCTTTACTAAACACATAAAAAGAGGAAAGAAGAGAGGAGAGGAGAGGAGAGGAGGGGAGGGGAGGGGAGAGGAGGGGAAAGGGACATAACGGTACCACAGGATTTTTGATAATGAGACAGCTACTCACACTGACAGGATAAAAATGTACAAGTATGACATTGAATGAAAGCAAATGTAAGAGGACTCATTCAATCTGATTCTATTCAAATGAAGTTCAAAGTCAGCCCTCCTGATAGCCACAGTCAGACAGGGAGAAGGTAGAGGCTCTGGGACAGCGTCCTGCTCAATCTCAAGAGCTATCCACAAGGGCTCACTTCATGCACACTCGTCACTGTCCCCTTCCTGTGGTACATGTGTGCTTTTTCTGTCTGCTTTTCTCTCTCAATTTAAATGTTCATGCCAGCACATAGACGCCATGCAGTAAGTAGTGAAGCAAGTTACCTGCACTCCAACCTTCTTTTCAGTGTCGGGGCTCTTAATCCTTTCATGTGATCTGAAAACAAAGGAATCAAATATCATAAACTTTTTTTTTTTTTTCAGAAATTTCCTTAGCCCAAAGAAACTGAGGTGTCTCTTAAGTCTTTTGGGTTTCAAGTAGTAGGAATACTTGAAGCCCACGTCCAGGAGAATAGGGTTTCCAGCTCCTTCCATAAGCAGAGCTCTTCTGATCACAGGGCAGGAATCACTAAAAGCTACCTGGGTCTGCACCCTCAAAAGCAATATACAGAGCAGCCCAGCCTGGGTGGGTCTAACCTGCTTGGTGTCACCTTGGAGGGCACAACCCTGCCCACTGCCCACTCTGCCCTTCCACACTGTGACCCATCTCGTCCTCCTGCCAAAGCCTGTTTCCACAGAATCTGCTGGACACCATTTGAGCTGAAGCCAGGAATGGCTCATCACTTTCTCAGCCCACTGTGGCCATGGGATGGAAAGGTGGGAGGTCGCCAGCTAGACCTGCCCACAGCCCTCCAAGTGTGGAGTGAAAGACACTCACAGTGAGACTGGAGATCCATCAGCATACAGTGCGTGCAGGTCCACTCCCGAGCCTTGGCATGCACAGGCCTGGGCAACTGCAACCAAAGGCTTCTAATGAAACCAGTTCCAGTCATTCCATTACCACTACCACTACACACACACACTTCAATTCTCTAGTTTGTAACTGGGAATCTTTTGTGAAGTGGGTTTGGGACCGTGGGAAATGAACACAAGGGTCTTCATGCTGAGCTCAACCCCCAGCCACCACCTCCCTTTTGAAATTTTGAGAAAGGGACTTAAGTCACCAAGCTGTTCCAGCTGGGCTCAAACTTTTGATACTTCTGGCTCAGCCTCTCAGAATGTCTGAATTATAGTTATATATCAACATGGCCAGCTTATAATCGAGAATTTTAAAACAAGAACAAAAACAAGGAAGTCACAGTACCTACCCTGGCAACCCCCAGACCAGACATACCCCTTCTCTGCCCCAAGACAGGTCTCTGCTTCTCAGGTTATCCCTGGCCCAGGCTTGATGCCTATGAGTGTGTCCCAGAGCTGGGCTCTCCCCTGTGGGGTTTCTAAAGAGTTTTCCCTGGGGCTAAAAGAGGCTGGGTCAGGACTCTACTCATGCTCCAGGCTACCTCCACAGGCATCAGGAGCCTGAGCTCCTTCTTAACTGGTGGTCAGGAGAACATGGCTGAGCTGATCCAACTGCACCCAGAAGTTGCTTTCCAGGAGATCTTCCTTTGGATCAGGGAAAATCACCTTCCACTGTCCCTCAAAGGGTCCTCACCAATGCTAGGCCCTGTCTCAAGCCCAGGTGCCCTCTCTCCTTGCACTTAGTGATGTTCAGCACAGACCACCCAAGTGTAGTGTCCTCCAGGCGGTCCACGGCCCACTCCTAGGTTGTCTAAAGGTGATGCTGACATGTTTACATCCCTGCTTCTCCAGTAGAAGAGTCCTTAAACTGTCAGATACTCAGCATTAGTCAGCGTAGGCAGCCATAACAAAACACCATAAACTGGATGACTGAAAACACCGAAGCTGCCTCACACAACTTGGGGAGCTGGAGAGCCCAAGATCAGGGTGCAGGCAAGACATCTTTTCCAGCAGCTGCTCTCCCAGGGTGGTCAGGAGAATCCATCCTCTTATGACTCCTTAACCTAAATAATCTAAAGGCCCCAGCTCCAAGTACAGTCACCTGAGGACGAGGGCTTGAACACACAGCACAAAGAACTCTCACATCCTGACAAAGTGCAAAACCAGTGAGAGGCCTCCAAATGCAGAAGGTGGGCACTTGCCCCACTGAGTTTATGTCCTTGCTGAATAAACATGTGAGCACATATCAGGGAAAGTTCTTATACAAACTCTCCTCAGTAGAAAGAACCAATTTTTCATTCAGTGTACACACAATGATGTCACAACGAATTACTTCTCCAGACTCACTGATCCTAAAGATGAAGAGCAAGCTCCTAAACTATCTTATCATTGCTATGTTAAGTAAATTTCTCAGTAGGCTGTTGATTAAGTGATAACAAGTGAATCACTTCCCATTCACCTTTGTAGGAATAGAAGTTTAACCCCAGAAATAGGAAGCAATAGGAAGTTTAATCCCAGTAGGACAGGCCTGGTACACGCCTGTAATCCCAGCACTTAGAAGGCTGAGGCAGGAAGACTGCTGTGAGTCTAAGGCCAGCTTAAACACATAGCAAGACTCTGTTTCATCACATTAACTGAGCTCTATTGGATGCAGAAGAACCTGTAAACAATCAGGTTGAAACACACAAACTGGGTGACTTAGTAAGCTGTAATCAAGTGAGCTGTTTTCTATGTCACATCTGATTTTCTAAAAATACTGTCAGATCACATTGTTAGAGTTCTCAGAACCTGCTGTTTCTAGAAGGTGCCTGATTCACAAACTATTTTGTTTCTCTTAGCTGAAAGATTAATTTGTTTAAGGACTGCTCCCTGATGGGTTTACTACTGAATTCCACATGAAATTTAGAGAAGACCTAATACCAGTACTTCTCAAACTCCAATGAAATTGAAAGAGAAACAATACTCCCAAACTCATTCCTGGAAGCAAGCATTAGCCTGATACAAAACTAGAGAAGGACCCAACCAAGAAAGAAAACTATAGGCCATTCTTCCTAATGAACAAGAATGCAAAAAACCTCAGTAAGATACTGGCGAACAGACTGCAGCAAACCATCAAGAAGATTATACACCATGTCCAAGTGGGACTCATCCCTAGGATGCAGGGATGACTGAACATACATAAATCAATAAGCATAACACACCACAGAGTCAAGGATAAAAATGAAAAGATCATCTCAATAGATGCAGAAAAAGGTTTGACAAAGGTCAGCACCCATTCAGATGAAAACCCTACAGAAAATTAAAATATATGGTCTTTATCTCAATCTAATAAAAGCCATCTATGACAAACCAAAAGCCAACATCATACTAAATGGACAAAAACTGAAAGCTTTCATTCTAAAATCAGGACAAGGATGTCTCCTGTCTCCAGTCTTATTCAACACAGACCTGGAAACTTCAGTCAGAGCAATTCGATAAGAGAGAGAAATAAAAGGAATAACAATAAGGAATGAAAAAGTTATTATTTGTGGGTGACATGATACTCTACATAGAAGACTCTAAAAACTCCATGAAAAAACTGAAAGATTTAATAAGTGCATTCAGCAATGTAGCTGGATACAAAGTCAACACTCAAAAATTAACAGAAAAAAAAAAACTATAGCATTCCTGTGCATGAATAACAAACTCATTGAGAAATCAGAGAAACCACACCTTTCATAATAGTGTCCAAAAATATAGAATATAGGTACATATAGACAGACATAGATATATACATTTAGGAATCAAACTAACAAAAGAAATAAGAGATTTATACACTGAAAATCACAAGGGGCTGGTGAGATAGCTCAGCAGTTTAAAGTACCTGCTTAGGCAAGCTGAGGCAAGTGCAGAGGACCACAGCTCAATCCCAGGCACCACACACTATGCCAGCCCTGCCCCACCCTCAGGTTAGGCTGAGCTGGTCAAAAAAAAAAAAAGAAAAAAAAAAGAAAACTGCCATACTCTGAAAAAGCAGTTCAAAAAACAAAAGGATATCAGAAAATGGAAAAACATCCCTTGCTCATGGATAGAAAGAACCAACATAGTGACAATGGCCATACTTTCAGAACTGTTATACAGATTTCATACAATTCTGACCAGGATTCCAACAGCATATCTCACAGAATCAAAGAAAACCACCCTAAAATTCACTTGAACCAGAAGAGACCTTGAGGGGGCCTGGCCCTAGCTCAGGCCTTTAAGTGGCTGCTTCCACAAAGCTGTCAGCCTCAGGTTGCTGTAGTTCGATTCCCACAACACTCCAGCCAGCCAAACCACACCTGAGGGCATTCAGAGAAAAAAAAAAAGAGAGAGAGAGAGAGAGAGAGAGACCTTGAATAGCAAAAGCAATTCTGGGCAACAAAGGCAAGATAGGGGGGCATTACAATCCCTGACTTGAAATTATACTCTAAAGCTA